GCTATATTTGAGTGGTGCTTTAAATTCCATCTTTTTTTTCACCAGTTACTATTTTAAAATTCATAAATGGTATTCCCATTTCATCCTTGTAAAGAGATATTGCACATTTCTTTAACTAAAATATGAATTATGAAGTCAAGTTAATTTCAATGAGTTTGAAACTTCATTCTACATAAGAACACTTTACTGGAGTATAATGTTGTATTCATTTGCTGTCTTTCTGTTACACATAATTACCATGTGTCTTAACCCTTAGACTCCCACAATTTCATGAGTAATCCTCCTTACTGTATGCCATACAGTTTATGTGATGTTAAATTTGAGAATTTGGAATTGGATCAACTAATAATCCTCAAATTGATACTTGTCTTAATTCTTGTTATTTGTCAGCTTTATATCATACTTATAGTGTGAGGAGAAATTCTGTCTTGGTCACCAATGGGACTTAACCAAGATCTCATTAGTAATTCTCCTTACAATCTCCTATACAGTTCTTGTGATGTTAGTTCGGAGTATTTAGTATTGGATCATCTTATAATCCCCTAACTGACATTTTTCTTTATTCTCATAGCTTGTCTACTTGATATTGTTTTGATATTGTAAGGAGAAATTCTCTCTTGGTCACTTATGGGAGTTAAAGGGTTAAAATGGGGGATTTCAACATATTGTAATGATTAAAATATTCTTAGGCTTTCAAATGTAACAAAAAAATGTGATGAGAATCTGATGATATGAAACACTTGCAATGGAAAAACCTGTTGCTGGTTGAAGGGACTACCGCTGGCCATATACCGGCGGCTCCGCAGGACTGGGGACGAGCGGGGAGTCGGCCATGTTGTTTTAAAAAAATACTTATCTTGTTTTGCGTGGACGGGTTGATCTTATTGTACTTGTTATCGCAAGTTCGTTATTCTTTGTTGCGTTTAGCTTTATTGTTCTTGTTATTCAGCGTGTTTATACTGTGTTTCACCCTGTAGAACTGTTTCATCGTTGTCATTAAAGTATTTAATCGAGGAGTTCGCTTCACTGGTAGCTTATGTCTTTAATGCATAAAGTTTCATGGGAAATGTTTTTCTTTGAAAGTGGGGATACAGAAGTTTTTAAAGCTGATAGAAGTAAGCTGT